ATAAGTCACATATTTAACTCCATACTTTATCTTTAGGAATATCATGTTGATGTTAGTGAAGCTAATAAGAGAGTGAATTATCTGAAGATGAAATGCAGACTAAGAAAACTCACACAGACAGTGGAATATCAATGACATGCAGGAAGTTCAAGTGAAGGATCTGAGTCTTCTCGTAATTGAGGGGGAGATATTGAAGGACCTGCCATTGAAGACAAGCAGTATCACTGATTGAAATTTCAGGGGGTGGTGAATACATTAGAGGTTTAATATCACAACTCTATTATCATTTGTACTGGTGTAGCGGTTAACATATTTGCCTTCCACGCAAAAGATCCCAGGTTCAACACCAAGAGGGGACACAGTCTTGGCCTCAGGAGTTAAAAGTTAGTGGACTCCTAACTGTGAGTCAAGCTTGGAATAAGGGCGCAGCTGGAAGTATCTTCTCTTTGTTGGTTCTTCCTTTTTGACCTCAGAGTTGTTCAGTCTGTTTTTCTATGTTTAAAATGGCTTTACTGTCTCCTCCACGTCTCATCAGGCCCTTGCCTAATTAAGAGTGGAGTAGTGGGTTGTCAGCTTTTTTACTGAGGGATCCCCTCCCCTCAGTGTTATGTGTGACTGAACCTGCAATGATAAATAAGCACATTTGCAGGTGCAGTCACATTGAGCCCTAAATTGAAAATCCACACAGCATCCAAAAATGTCCTTCTTTTTTCTCGCATCAATGAATAATTGTATTCTATTTATTTATTTTAAAAGTAGAACCTTGAGTCTTACATTAGCTGGTATAATGTTAGCATGTAACCAGCTGTTGTTGTTGTTGTTGTTGTTGTTGTTGTCCAAAGATGGGAAGGTGGCATGTCTAATTTGCTAAGAATATACAATTGTAACATGTTTTCTTGTGTTAGAGCTCTGACTGCAGTTTAGGAGATGAAGCTTGAGGTGAGAAGAAAGTATGAGGTGGAAATCAGGCAGGGGAGAGAGGAGTGATGGAGGCGATATGATGAAAATAAAAGAAGGCAAGGCAACATGGTGGCTTCCACAAACCAATGCCAATATGTATTTGTCTATGTATTTATGTATTCATTCTAAGTTGATGAGGATGCATCAGTTTGTTAGAAAAATGAATTACACACCCATCTGTGTATATTTATTAGTGCCATAATTTTTTTTCTATCAGATAATCTCGAATTACTTATTCTATCTTTAATCTTACTGTGAGTGGCTATGTGACAGACGTAGACCTGTTAGTTATTGTGACTTCATGTTGTCTTGGAAGCGATACATAAATGTTAAAAGGTCTAAACTATTAAGATTGCCATGACAGTCTTTACAGAAAAGTGACCATGACTGATATTCAGACGAGAAGCCAGCATGTTCAGATGCTGTCAGATTAATCAAAAGAAATGCATGTCTGAAAGGGTTTTGGGTAGACAGCTGACTTATGATGCTTAAGCTTTGGGAGTTATGTCTCTGAGCTATTAAGCTGCTAATTAAAATTTCATAACAAGTTTGAAAGTTACCTAAGAGATACTCATAACTCTTTGCTCACCATTTAGACCTGACTGCATTCAGCTTTTATTTATGTTCGCTTTTAAAGATGTGGGTGGCTGCTGGAGTTTTCTAATGAACAATAGGTGTTGCTACTCAGACTGTACGCCACATCAGTTCAGAAATGGGAAGATGGGAAGGAGTCAAAACTGGAAGCAAAGACATTGGCGAAGTTATTTTTCCACAAGGTCTCGTGTTTTAAACTATTGACACATCCCCTTTTGTATAATCTGTGAATCACTGAGCTTCTGTATTGGCAGTAAAAACCAACACGATTGTACACTCAGGTTCTGCACCCAGCTGTGGAGGCACAAGCTGGGTTATAATAATCAAGAGGTTGAAGTGACACCAAAACTGCTGCTGTCACCAGCAGATGTGATGTCACGTTTGTGAGCATAAAAGCTCACACAGCAGGAGTGCTGCATCAGCTTACATTTATTTGTGCTATAACCATCAAACAGAGATTTTAAGGTGAAGACAGTGCTGTGACAGTAATACACTGGTGGCAAGGGGTGCATATTTTATTGAAATGTGTTGTTAGTTGTCATGTTTTGTTTCCTTCAGTAGAGCTTATCGGAGATTGTGATTTCTTTCAGGCTTTTTGCTAAGTTCTAGTCATACTGCTTCATTGTGAGAAAATGTATCCCGCAGGACTTTCTGACCACCTTGTTATGGATTACTGAAGGACTTGTACCAGATTCCAGCCCTTTTGGTTGAGTTGGTCTTGGATCTGAGCCTCTGGGATGTGGCAGGAGACATGTTGACTTTTTCAGCAGGCTGGCATCGTGGAAACAGTAGATGTTCTGTCCCTCGTCCAGTCCCCTTGTTTATTTCCACAGTCCCATTTAAACAGTGCAGGTTCTGCATGAACAAATATGGAGGACAGACACAAGTACTCGATGGATTATTGCCGAGGTTTAAATCCCATCTTTCCCAGACGTTTCAGTCTAAAATACCCTGTCTGCCTCGTGAAGGCGGCTGGTAATTATTTCCTGTTGTAGGTTGATGAATGGAAACTGGTGCCCTGCCTAGAGCTAAGTGGTTTCTGCATCCACAAATAAAGAGGAACAAGATGTCGTCATTTATCAAATGACATTTGCGATTGCCTACTTCTGTTTTTGAATATCCAAGATGTAGGTCAAGCAAGTTAATTAATTTTTAATGATTTCATTTAAGGATTCATTTTCATTTTCAGTGCATGTATGACCCTTTTAAAACTGATTTAGTGCGCCAGAATACCAACTAATGTTTTTGCAGTCCATTTATGTTGTTGTTGATTTTAACACATGAGTGATCGAGATGTGTACCACTAGAACTCGTTTGCACTTCACTTCTGCAGTGTCTAATACCACCGGCTTTTAATGAACTCTGTGCTTTGTGCTTTACTTTTACAGGCTCCTATCCTGTGCTGACCCAATGGTTTAATCACCAGGACTAAAAATGAGCATAAGCAGTGATGAGGTTAATTTCCTGGTTTACAGATATCTGCAGGAGTCTGGTATGTCCAACAAATCAATATTTGATCAAACAGCTCTGCTTGCTGTTGTAGTAATCGCACTGTTAGTAGTTTTAATATTTGGTCATGAATAACTTTTAATCTTGCAGCATTTGAGTCTGTGGAAATGAACTTTGACTTCATCCTACTTTTTGCATGATCCGTTCTTCCCGCAGGCTTCTCTCACTCTGCGTTCACCTTTGGCATAGAGAGCCACATCAGTCAGTCCAACATCAATGGAGCCTTGGTGCCCCCTGCTGCCCTCATTTCCATCATTCAGAAAGGCTTGCAGTATGTGGAGGCTGAAGTCAGCATCAATGAGGTCAGGGTCTGTCTTTGCATTGCTATCGACTGATTAGTTCACACTTGAAACATGCTGGAAAGAATGGGTGTAGTGTTTACTTATGTGTCGATTGCTCTGATAACAGTGTGACCACTTCAGTTAGAAATTCTTTTTGGAAATCATGAATGCCAGACCACCTGGCTTGTTATGAACACACTGTTAAAAGCCAAAATTCATGTTGTTATGGAAGGGGTGAATCTTCAGCAATAATGCTGCTTTGCTTATTTCAGCAAGGCAATGCCAAACACACGCTGGCCGTGTCACAGCTGCTTGGCTCTGTTAAAAGAGCCTGGGTGCTAAACGGAGCAAGTAGTTTCACAGTCAGACCTGTTCCTCTTTATCACATTCAGTTTTTCAAAACTAAGATGGCTACTGTCAATGTGCTAATCTTCCAGCTTCCCCTTTCCCCCCAATTTTCCACCCAATCATTCCAACTCCTTTGGTAATGGGGTTAAATAACACTGTATGTTCTCTTTGTAGGACGGCACCTTATTTGACGGGAGGCCAATCGAGTCCTTGTCTTTGATTGATGCCGTAATGCCAGATGTGGTCCAGACCAGGCAGCAGGCCTATAGAGACAAGCTGGCCCAGCAGCAGGCGGCAGCGAGCAGTGGCAGCAGCACGGGGCCACAGGGAAGCACCAAGAATGGAGAGGGCGCTGCCAACGGGGAGGAAAATGGATCCCACACCTTAGCCAGTAAGTTTAGCTCATGGTTGTAAACAATCTGAATCATCTTGTGAACTACCAGCTGTGTTTTCTTGTCTCATGCAGGATGTTATTTTGAGCTAAATGTCTGATACACAGTTATAAAACAAAGGAGTGTTGGCACATTTTCAAACATGAGTACACAAAACGCCTAGATGATCTACTTTTAGTGAGGCAACAGTACAACCTGAATTAATGTCACAATCAGGTTATGAGTCAAAAATATATTTTTTTGCTAATTTCACTAGAATGGCTTCATAATATTCTGAAAGATTGCATCTTGTTAAAGCTAACCTCTTTGATTTTTATTTTATTTTTTTGCATGATTCTGTCTGTGTGACCGGTTTAATCGTTCCCGTCATGGCTGCGTCACAGTTTGAGGGTTTTGTGTAAAGTGCTTTTGGTTTGGTTGGTTTTGGCCTGACTATGTTGTACAGTTGTGCTGTCTGTTGTTGTTTTATCATAAAAGGATAATTCCAGTCTGCTTTGTTTCCTCCGTTTTCCCAATGTGTTTTAAATACGATAACACATTGAGAATTTGATTCAGATTTAATAACTGCTCCCTATGGCACGATTCAAGTTTTTGAGGATCAAAATGAAGTCATCATTAGCCGGCTCCACGTGAGTGTATAACATGGGGTTGACTTGCTTGTATTTTGCAGATGACTCTGATTAGCTGCATCCAGAAAGTCCTTCTTACATTTATTTATTTTTTATGTGTTACACCCGCACAGTTTAACCAAAAGGAATTTCCAGCATAACCTCAGCATAACCATGTATAATATCCACAAAGGTTATAAAGAGGTTATACACACACAATGCGGTAATATTATGTTGAAGCACAGTATGTATTACTCTGCGAGGCTCCCGACTACGGTAGCCATAATGCTCCGACAATCCATCAAGCGGTGCGGCTTCATAGCTTAGCAAAGTGGTACTAAAACATTTTTGACAGATTTTTGAGCGCCGTGTATTACATAAAATCGGTTCGGTAATAATGATGGTGCGTATGAAAGCAAAGGCATTGCGCATATGCATTTTACCCATATTCTATCACAATATTTCATTTTCTTATCATTGCCCAACATTATACCGATATTACCGTGAGCGGTATGATGTGGCCCAGCCCTACCTGCAATAGTTCATGTGTGCTGGAGCTTTAGGACTTCAAGAACGCCGACGACCTACAATTCAGTACACTGCTTAAACGCCTCCACACTGAGGATCCGGTTCCTGCTGTGTGGGCACAGTGGTGTTAACCATCTGACCTCAGCACCTCGTGCTTGCGGTTAAGCCACTTTTTATGAAATAAGTTCAAGCGATGATATACTCGCGTGCTGCTGTGGGAATGCTGTGGTTTGTAGGTTGGGTGATGTCAGATTCCCATCATGACTAATCTTGTACAGTGTGATGCGGTTTGCTAGGCTGGTTGTTGCACAATGATGTTTAGTGAAAACTGGTTACTCCTTTTCAAATTAACTTTTGTAGCAGTAGAACAGGACTCTACTTTTTCTTCTTTGCGTTCAATGAGAGGAAACTAGCATGTGCTCATATAACATACCTTTTCATTATTTTTTTCTCATCATTCATGTACTGTATTTGCTTCTCTTTTCCTGCTGCACTGCATTCGCTTTGCTTTCTGAAAAATTGCACAGTACTTAAAGAATACTCAAGTTTTTGTTTCACGCTCCTTCCTGTAGATCACCACTCGGAGATGATGGAGGTAGACAGGGATGTGGAGATCCCCCAGAGTAAAGCCATGGTCTTGAGGGGCCACGAATCGGAGGTTTTTATCTGTGCCTGGAACCCAGTGAACGACCTCCTCGCCTCTGGGTCAGTATTACAGTTTTCTGATGCAAACGTGGGATTGTTATGGGCGAGAGCTGGCGCAGCTAAGCGCGTTTCTTTGAGACCTTCACATTATCACCTTTTCACCTTGTAATTCAAATAACCAAAATGATTTAGCTTTTCCTTCTTGTCTTTTTTATATCGGTCGTAATTTAAGTATTTTTTACCCAGAGTTCACTCTTGATGATTTATTATAAAGAGTCCAGATCTGTAAACATAGTTGATCATTTTTAATTGGTTGATTTATAAAAAGAATAACTTGTGTGGAATAGTCAGTGAGCTTTTATCACAGCTAAATGAATGTTTCTCAGTTAGAGGAGTGTTTTCCTGGACATTTGCTGGTGCACTTCAGTGTAATCACCAGAGATTTGCAGTAACACGTTACTTTTTTCAATTAACAAGTAAAGTAAGGGATTACTATTGCAAAACAGTAACTAGATTACTGTTGCTTTCCCATTAGCACGCTGTGTTACTGCGTTACTAAACCTTGATTTTGTTTATGAGAGTGTCTCATGACAATGACGTCTGAGCGTGCGACATCCGTGGCAGCAGCAGACGTGTGCAGATCAACAATGGATAATATGGAGTGTGGGAGAGAGTACACACCATGCAGCGTTTAAAGCTGGGAAGTACTGACATTACTCTGAGTTTGATTCCGTAAAAAGTGACAAAAACATTAGTGTGTGTTGTACACTCTGTGTGGGAAGAAAAGTTCTTTCTACAGCAAAAAATTTAAATTGAAATCTGAGCAAGTACCGAGCACGCTGCCACAGGAATGTGAAATTCAGAGAAACCCCCAGAACCCCTCACTGACATGACCGCTGCAGCACCGGGCAAACCTCCAACAGCCCCACTCCTGCGAAACAGGTGAAAATAGACTTAAGAGTGACAGGACTCAGTGCTGCTGAATCTTTGACTTTATTTATTTTGTGCTGTGTTTTACTTGCTTCTATTTGAAAGAGTGAGTGTAAACACAAAAAAATATTTTATTTTATATGCTGGGATATGCAGAAAATAGCTTGAAACAAATTTCTTCAAGTGAGAGAATGTTGCATATTTTTTTAATTTTTGCTCGATGCAATGTGCATAAAGTTAAAAGATTAAAACAAATAAAACAAGTTTTAAAAAGAGTTTTTCATTTGATTTATATGATGGATTATGCAGAAGAAATAGAATTGGGCTGAAAGATCTGGTGCTTTAGGTTGTGTATCTTGTTTTTTTGAAAGTATCTAAGTAATAAAGTAATTAATTACTTTTGAAAATAGGTAAAGAGTAAAGTAACAGGATTACTTTCTTGGAGAAGTAATCAATGTAATAGTAACTATTTACTATATTCAAGTAACTTGACCAACACTGGTAAAATTTCCCACGCGTGGGACTAATAAAGGTTATCTTATCTTATCTTAATCACACAGAGGGAATCTCTTTACATGGGTGGAGTGTGTATTCAAGAACAAAACATGCTGCAAATGTGACACATTTTTCAGAAAACACATGAATCCAACGCAGCAGATTTCCTGACAGGTGTTGATTTATCCCTCACTGACAGATAAAGTGACAAGAATCACTTTTGGTGTTAACCCTCTGGGGTCCAGGGTATAATTGGCCGTTTTTGACTACTTTTGATCTTACCTCTATATTTCACATTTAAAAACTGTTTACCTTGCCTTGTTTGGTATCATTATTTTCAGCACAACCTTAAATATCTGAAATTTATTTTGTCATTTTGGCATACTATATTAGCACAATTAATCTAAATTCAGACAAAAAAATTCAAAATCCGAGTAGAAAAAAGTTATATTTTTTACTGTAAAACCTGCAAACATGTTTAACGAATCATTTTCATAACTTGAAATGCAAATAGAAATTGCACATTTCTAAAAAATTATACACAAGTTTTGCAAACAACAAAGTTATATGGTACCATTTACCTAAAAATGCAGCCAAGGCCTCAGGCGTTTTTTAATTTTTTATTTAACCATTTAACCAACTATTTACAGAACAATCAGGTGTGCTGCATCAAAAGGAAGGCACACGAATTATTTGTGCCAGTCCAAAAATAGTTTGTTCAGTATAAGACAGAGGAGAACAGCACAGGCCTAAACCCTGCAGGTCTGACAGCAGGATGTGTATCAGTCTAGTTTTCCATGTGGAGACAGTGTTTACACTGGAATCTGCCTTAAATGGCTTTTTTGGAGCAACTGTGACAGTATAACTGACACACAATACAAAACAATAACTACACAACACACTAACCATAGCCTCTAAACACGCTAAATATCATTAATGTCCCACATGTGAAAGCTGTGTCGTCTTAAAATGGTCATGTGATTTTGACGCGCCGGCGTGTCTGTCGACTAGGGCTGCCACAAACGATTATTTTGATAGTCGACTAGTCACCGATTATTTTTGCGATTAGTCGACTAATCAGATCATCATCCATTGGACGTACAGCTTATTGCACCAGCAGCATCTGGTCTTATATAACTATCATTAGCTTACAGCTTGAAGTGTTTGTGCTAACTAAAAATAAAGACAAGATGGTAGTTTATTAATTTTTAATGAAATTTGCAGATTGTTTCGGTGAAGTTTAATAAACTCCTTGCTTTCTAAAATATAACAGGACACCGGAGTATATTCTCCAGCGTCTCACACTTCTGATAATCAGCTGTCTGCTTGACAGTTTTAGCTGTGCAAAAACTATAACTTTAATCTCAGCCAAACCAATTTACTCAGGAACAAATAAAATACTAAAGAAAGCCAAACAATAACATTTTTAAGTTATCTAAGTGACTTATATATATGTTTAACCTGACTAGCGAAAGACGGCAGTGGGTTTGAAAACGATTTGCCGGGAGTCCGGTGTTCTCACGGCTCTAGTTAGCCTTGCCCCCGCCTAGCTAACGAGCTAGTGGGTAACAGACGTCTCCGAAAACGTCGGAGCACTTTTGAAAATATGTGGTGTCTTGATAAACTGAGCAGATATTTGAGGTTTACACAGCTACATTCTCGCCTGAAAATATGTTAAACATTTATTTTGTGACCCAGAAAGAATAATAAGAGTAAAGTTAAAACTACTAGCTGCCGCCATTGTTGACAACTGCGCTGGGCTGCGCTATGAATTCTGGGACACAGCTTCTTCTTCTTCGGGGTTTAACGGCAGCTGGCATCCTTGTACATGCAGTGCTGCCATCTTCTGTTTCAGTCCGTTATTACACTCTTAAATCCTGCTACTCATTCCTGCGTCCTTTGTGATCTTACAAAGCTTCAAACGATGCGTCGACTGTTAAATTAGTCGTCGACGATTTTAATAGTCGACATAATCGTGACTAGTCGACTAATCGTGGCAGCCCTACTGTCGACCCCAGAGGGTTAAACACAATGTTAAATTCTTCTCTATCTATAGCTGGTGGCTTTTTTATGGCTTTAAAACCAGGCAGATAACCTCAAGAGTTGCACCTGTTAGGTAAATGGGCCGTACATTAAACGCTGTATTTGCTCTACTCTTATTTAATTACTCGGACCAAAGTTTGTTAAACTCTTAGTCAGACAAACCCACTCATAAATCAGCTCTCTCTGCGGTTACATCAGACACAAACTTCTCCACTCCTACGCTCCACTGTTTGTCAACATGGCTCAAGGGAAATGCCTGAATTTTTCAGCAGTTGAACAAGATGATATAGAAGAATAATGCATGCAATCCAACAGGATGCACAACCACTATGTGGACTAAAAAAGGCTAAAAATAACGATCATCTGAAAGAAAGCTCTGTTCAGCAGGAATTAAAAGCTGAAACATGGCCAAATAAAGCCAATAACATTTTAAACCTTTTTTCCAAATTAAACCGACGAGTCTTAATTTGTAATGGTAGGCAACCAGAGGTAAGTATTCAGCTGGCTGTTTGCTGTGTATTCAACAGTCTTGCTCCTCAGTATGTGCATGCGTCTTAAAATAAAATGGAGAAAAAAAGCGATTACATCTGGAACAATCCTGTAATATAGGAGGGTCTGAGTAAAGGACCAAGTATCCACATAAACCAACGTGAATGAGTTTTGTGCTTGTAAAATCTCTTTCTCCTTTTTCTTCAACAGATGATGTGAAAAGTTTTGATAGGGATTTTAAAAGATTTTGGATTTGATGATTTGGGTTCAGGTTCGATAAAATGCCTTTAAACCCCAACCCTACTCAGGAGCAATGATGGTCAGTTTTATAACCTTATCAGTACCGATTTTAGAAGTCCAAGTCATGTGGGTGTGCCTAACGCAAGGTTGTTTTGACTCCTTCAGGTCCGGGGACTCGACAGCACGGATCTGGAACCTGAGCGAGAACAGCACAGGCGGATCCACCCAGCTGGTTCTGAGGCACTGCATTCGGGAAGGGGGCCAGGACGTACCCAGCAACAAAGACGTCACCTCACTAGACTGGAATGTGAGTGAAAGTGGGATTGTGTCAAGTTAAACTGTGGAACCCACACACTAACACGATCATACTGAGTGCTCTGTGTTTGTCATCTAGTCTTCGGGTGTGGGTTTGTGCGCCTGTGTGCATGCTAATAAACACAGCTTTATCAAGAGGCATTCCTTCTAACTATAGCTATGTATAAGGAGGCACTCAGATGAGGGAAAAGGCCTTTTCCATAACCAAGCTGCAAACATTTTGTGCTCTTTTACTCTTATATGTTCCTGTTACCATTTTTTTGTAGTCAAAGTCGATGCACAACGCTTAAAATGAGCGTTGTGCATTTACTCATAAATTAGTCATAATAATTTGGCTGCACCCAATGACACCACGCTTCTTTCCTTCAGAGCGAGGGGACATTACTAGCAACCGGCTCATATGATGGCTTTGCTAGGATATGGACAAAAGACGGTAAGACTCTGGCATCTTCTGCATCGTAGCATTTCAGGCGTTTGTCCCTGGTCTCTTTCCAAGTGGCATTTGGTTATTTTTTTTCAGGTAACTTGGCCAGTACTTTGGGTCAGCATAAAGGCCCTATATTTGCACTCAAGTGGAATAAGAAAGGAAACTTTATCCTTAGCGCTGGTGTGGATAAGGTGAGACACATTGCTTTTCTTTGTATTTTTTTTTAATTATTATTTATGAATATTTTTGGGGTGGAAATTTTCGGTCGTTGGTTTGGATTCCTGGTGTGACTAAAACAAACAATTTGAACATATTGTCTTGGGTTTGATTGGTCATTACTCAAAATATTGCCCATTTTTATAGAATCAAATTTAAAAGCAGAAAATTCGTAATGATTTTCTGCTATAAAGGGAAAGTTAAAAATGAATTTGCATAAATGATAATTTAATGACAATTATTTTCTATAATTTTCTTCCTTTTAGCAATAGCAAATTGATGCCATGCACGTCTGTGTGGATATGTAACATAATCAGGTTGTTGTATGTCATAAATGTGAAGGGCTGCGTTTCATCTGAAATCACAAAGCTATTTGTTTGTCCAGTCAGTATTATCAACACATGGTTCAACATTGCCACCTAGTGTACAGAAGTATATTAAAACCTTGTCACCTTGGGATTCTCATGATTGACCAGGGGCTGGCGTATTGTGATATAAAAGTTTCGTCATGTTTGTGATATAGTGGTGTAGTTTTGTATTATCTCTGCTTGTGCAACAAGCAAAATATGAAAAGATTGCAAGATGTTAAAAAGAGTGTTTTATTCTATGTAATGTTTTTGATTGTTTTTTATAAATGACACTAGTTCGTCATAAAAAGCATCTCTATCTTCACACAGACGACAATTATTTGGGATGCACACACGGGAGAGGCGAAGCAACAGTTTCCTTTCCACTCAGGTGAGTGACAGGAGTCAGCTGGATTGTTCACATGACGTTTCCTGGAGTGTTTCTGTTTTTAGGCATACGTTACCTTTAGTTGAACTGCAGTGTGAGAGCACAGTGAGAAGACCTTCACTTATTTCTGTCTAGTTTTTCTGGACATTGTGACTGAGCTTTGATCCTGTGATATTTAAGCTAGTATATCTTTACACACAAGGTATCATTTCAGCTTTAAATGAATAGACAAAGCTTTTTTTCTTTTGTTTTGTTTTAAAACCATATGTTGATCTGATGATCAGATCTAATGTGGAAGGAAGAAATCTTTACCGTGATTTGTTCGTTGTGATCTTCTACGTCAACTTACTGCTACATCAGCCTTAAGCTATATCTTTACCTCTCCACAGCGCCCGCTCTGGATGTCGACTGGCAAAGCAATAACACATTTGCCTCGTGTAGCACAGACATGTGCATCCATGTGTGTAAGCTGGGCCAGGACAGACCTGTGAAGACCTTCCAGGGACACACGGTGAGAATAGAACACTCCAGTGTTTGCACTCCATTGCACAAGTAGGAAAACAGCTCTGGTGCTCAAATGCGCTGTGTTTGATCAGTGACGTGCGGTGACTTTTACAGAAAGACAAAGGGAGAAGGTTGTTGCCCAGAGACACAAACAGAAACATGTTCCTTCATTATTTAATAAGATAAACTGGATCAGATTAAAACATTTATGCTGCCTGTCTACACTCCTTCCTGGCTGATGACTTGTAAAATATTACTTTTCTAGTTAAATGAATATCTGCTATACCAAAATGATTTACTATTAGCTGAAACTGACAAGTGTTAGATGAAGTTTTCAAACCATTCCTTTAGGTAGAGAAGCAATAAAACACGGTATGATCTGTATAATTGCAAAATTGTATCAAGTAAGTATCAAAAATAAGAATTTTTCAAATATTGCTGCTGCATGAATAAAAATGTTTTTAAAAAGTGTAATAAAATGTGTTAATAGCAAGAAATCAATAGAATGAAAAACGTTGACAGTACGATTAACTTTCAATATCTAAAATGTTAATGACAAATAAAGGTGGAGTGTTGGTTAAACTTTTATATTCAGTCAAACATCATTGTCACAACTTTCCTTGGTAATGTACTAAAGCAGCTAGTATCAACCTTTTCACTCTCCATTTTCTCTACATCACACACGTTGGCCACACTGATTAGCAAGAGGCAACTCGGTGATGCTTGTTTACTTGCTAATACTAGCTGTGCTTCCACACAAAGCCCAGATCTGACTGATCTCAGAGCAGTAAAGGCAGAGCCAGGTCCGCTTGACCCGCACATTGGTCTGATCAGTTGACAATAGCAGACTGCGGCCACAAGATGGCAGTAAAGTAAAGGTGAATGCAAACTGGCAGGGAGCTTTGTGACAGCTGTCTGAGATGAAAGGAGAGGGATCACTTTACAGTGGTTCAGTTAAATGTATGTCTATTATTAGGTTTGACTATATTTAGATGGAACATTACTGTGTTACATAATATCAGGGTGGCACTCCCTCCTTTTGGTTTCTTATAAAAGTTATAGTGCTCATAAAGTGCATTCAGTCAGTGGTAAAAAAATAAATAAATCTACAATTATCGTACCATTATGTGTCACTGCCATTATCATTTGTCTCTGTCATAAGCTGATGAGCCTGATAGGCTGGTTATTAACTAATTTATTTCATAGAAATATGGACTATGCAGGTCAACACAATTGTTCTGCAAATTGTTATGGCAAAGAGTCTGTTTTTTTTTTTTTTTTGCCCTTCTCATTTTTGGCCAGTTTGAAAATAAAAATGTGAGCTGGAGTAAATGAAACCTTAACCTTGGAAACGATTTGTTTAAAGTCTTGAATTTAGAAGAGATTTTTGTTTGGTCATAAGCCAGTGTTATCCTCATGTAGTGTATTGTATTATCTGTGGCCATGTGCGCCAGTCAGACTTTTTGTTTACACTCACGTCTTTCTCACCCTAGAATGAAGTGAACGCCATAAAGTGGGATCCTACTGGCAGCTTGCTGGCCTCCTGCTCCGATGACATGACCCTAAAGGTCGGTTCACTCAACGCAATGAGGCCTAATGGAAAAGAACAAGCCGGGCCTTCATAGGAACACTGTATCCCAAGTAGGGCTGCTCAATTAATCGAATTTTAATCACGATTGCGATCTGGGCTTTCAACGATCATTAAAAATGACTGAGCTGATTATTAGCCCCTCCCTCATGCTTTACTCTCGCGCTGCTCCGTGTGGCAAATCGAGCGCACCTCTCTGCATTTCGAACACGCGTCACAACAATTAAGAGGACCCTAGGGAAGCTCGGAAAGCTAAGCAGAAGTTATTTGGGGAGGAGTGTGACTGCCGTTGGTTGAAAAGAGAGGTAAAAAAAAAACTTCAGTGGTGTGGAAACATTATGGGTTGGTGGAGTCAGACGTGGATCAAGTAGACACAGTGTGTAAATGCTATGGTGTAGTAGCTGCACCACAGAGCAACACTGCAAAGTTCACTAAACATAGATGTTTACATTTTTCATTTATTTCTTATTATGCAAACATTTGCACTGTTATCAGTATTTGCACACTATTTTATATTATTTTTTAAAGTCATTATTCAATACATTGTTATTGTTAACCCTTTAAAGCCGGTCAGAGCAGCACGCTCTGTTTTG